AAAAAATAAATTAATAAAAAATAATAATTTAACAAATCCAGAAGTAATAGTACTAAAAGTTAGTTTTCATTCTACGAGTTCTCCCTTTAGCTCGCACAAGGAACCTCAATCTTCAAGCCCAGTTTGTAATCAACTATGCAATTAACGTCTGAGCAATGACAATGACAGAATGTACTCAAACTCAGAGGGTGGTAAAGCTGGACACTTAGAAAAATGTAATTGCCCTGGGCTGAGAGCGGGTTCTTTGGTGAACTTTTATTTTTAGAACGTGTTCTTAGCCATCAGATTAATCGATTTTAAACAAATTTGCTACTAGGAAAGAATGGGATCTCAAGCGAACCGGATTCTTACGCGGGGCGTTCTTAGGTGGAGGTCACTTTATTTTGATATTATTTTTTTACTGATAAAAGGCAAGTTAGGTTTCTGCACTCACTTAGGAAGGAAGGGGCGGGGGGGGTAATTTTCCTTAGAGGAAAAAATCATTTTAGAATGGTTATATTTTTAAAACTGAAAGTAATGTTTGACTTGTAATGGACGATTCTTTTGTAAGATGTAGAGTTAATTACTTACCAAAACAGTCATTCATAGGGGGTTCTCCTGGCCTAGAGGTTAATGTGTTGGCTTCGCATTCAATAGGTCCTCGGTTCGGATCCGGATAGCAACGAGAAGCAATTTTCTTCTCTAAAATTGTCTCCTTTCACCTCCTTTCCTGCTCTCTAGCAATGTTCTGTCGTCTGCTTTGCCTTCACTTTCAGCACCACCCCTCACCTCCTTTTCCCCTTCCTCTGGGCTCCTGACTCTTTCTGCAGCATTTTTGCTGCTACTGCCTGGCTCCTTCTTACTGCTGTATTTCAGCCACAGCCCTGATCTTATTGTAGGAAAGATCTACACCCAGCCATGGGCGAAAGATATCGGAGATCCCGTGTGCAAGTTGTGCACGTTAAAGATCCCTTGGTGGTCCAAAATCAATAAGAGTAGGTTTCGGCCGCCACCCAGGCAAAATTCAAAATTCCTTACCACTTTTATGTGTCCCGTGCCCTCATATAACATAAAGTAGTTGTTAGCACCGTAAAAC